TATCTCTCAAGAACCACTACAGATCCTCATTTTATATGAATCTGGACCATGAGAGCTTCTCTCTCTTTCTTCTTTCCCTCCCTCCTTTGTAGCTAGGAGAGGCCCTGTAGTAGATAGATACATAAGGGAAGTATCAAACGGTAGCTTTCAGGAACGTTCTTTAAAAGGCAGCTGTTTGGGTCCTTTGCTTTTATTTATTCATTTTTTCCTCTTTCCGGCTGGTTGGAATTTGGATGTGATGGCCGGAATCAGGCAGCCACAGTAGATAAGGAGGTGACCATAAGAATGGAGTCTGTCTACAGTGCAGCAATAAGTTAGAAGAAGCCTGGCTCCCTGAGCCTCTGGATTTTTTTTTTTTTTTTGTAAAAGAGAAATGAGCTTCTATCTTGTATAGTTCCTGTTACACTGGGTCTCTGCTATTCATAGTCCTAGTTCATTCTAATACAAAAGGAGAATAAGTGAACTCTGGATTAGCAATGAGAAGATCTGAGTTCTAGTCCCATTTCTCCAACTCATACTCACATCCATGTGAGTGAAAAAAGAAATAGTCCTGGCTTTGCACTCCCCAGCACCTATTTTAAGCTTCCAATGAGGTTTGCCCCTTGGAAACTCTCAGTTCTGCTCAGAGCTCTGCGTGTTTCTATTCCGAGGCAGTGGTGGGAGCAGGGTGCCCAGGGGAGGAGCAGGGTGGGGGCTGATTTCTGCCTGAGTTTATCTCAGGTGTTACCCTGTTGGGGAGGTGATTGAGGTACAAATGGACCCAGGGGTGTGAGAGGGTTCTGTATGAGAGGGATAGTGGTCCTCGATAACTACTAAATAGTATCACACATAGAGCATGTCTGTCCTTAAACTGCCTTATCTCCTTCCTGCCAAACCATGCCAAGCGCATCCATAAAAGTGCAAACAACTCATTCCTCTCTTCCCGTCAGAACATCCTCAGCAGCTGCATAGTTGTTATGTATTTTAAATAAAGCATTTAAAAGCTCTCAGAATTTAGAAACAATCACCATGGATACTCATCACTGAAATCCTTTGTTACCATGGCAACATTCCACCCTTCACCCCCCACCCCCCACCCCCATCTTGCCTGTTTACCCTGAAACTGACACATTGGTTATAGTGAATGATAGGAAAAGATTTGAGTGGAACTTTCAAGGGCATAGAAGCATGAAATGTCTTGCCAGAAAATAGGTATTTTCCCATTATTGTAATAAGTACTATGTTTCACTCTCCTATTTTACCCAGGATAGATGACTGTTATTACAGGGGGAAAGAGGAAGATCAATGCTGAATTAAAGCAAAAATGATCCCTTTTGTCATCTGCAGGTGATTTTTAATAGCCCTTCTTGTTGCATTCAAAATGTGGTGAGTAGCAACCTAGGAGTATTAAGACCTGAGTGTCATTTGACCCACTTCTTGCAGTTTTCCAATACTTGCCAAGAAAACCCTTTAGAAGCAACCAACAAATCTGTGCAAAGGTATTCACAGCAACCTTTAGGGAATGGTGAGGAATAAGAAAGGACTGTGTGCCGGATGTTGAGAGTGGTTGGGTGAAGTGAACAGAATGTGACACAGACAATCTTTTGTAGCATTTCCAGATGACAAGTAGGACATGGCTGTGCATTTCCTACTTTGGAGAAATAATGTGCAGTAAATCAAGCAAAATACAGTTGATCCCAGTGATTATGGGCATGGGCTCTGAAAATGTTTGCACGTACCTTAAGCGAGATTAGAGAGAATGGGGGGATTCTGAACTCTTTTTGGGTCAATGACATTTTTAGAAATCCGAGAATGTCTTGGACCATCTCCCCAGAAAAATCCCCAGACATACAACATTTTGCATGTAATTCTAGCAGATTTGTTGGTCTCTTGATGTCCATTCGGGGGCCACCCCTCCCCCACAAGGGCCCATCCACTCTGGATTTAAAGCATAATGTTCATCGAGTTCAGTCTTGGTCATTAAGTTGGTTACTTCCATTAAAAAGCCCAAACCCCAACTAAAACATGTTCAGAGATTTGGGATGTACTGCTTGTTTGCTGTTTGTTCTCCCCTAGTAGAATGTGAGCTCCACGGCAACAAGGGTATTGGATGGTCTTGTTTGCTGTCTGTATCTCCAGGACCTAGAACAGTGTTTGCCCTAGTAGCAGCTGCTCAATATTTCCTGAAGGAAGGAATTCCTTAACAGCATGTCCAGATGCAAAGCATTATTATTAGAATTACAACTTTGTGCAAGAATCATCCATGTTATTGCATGTGGCAAACCATTTATCCACCTTGCTGTACAGGGCACAAAACTCCATGTGTGAATACACCGCAATGTAATCATCCATTCTACTGTTGGTGGGCATTTGGGTTCAGTTTCTTTGTTTTGATTTTTTTTGCTATTATGAATAGTACCACCTGGAACATTCTAGCACATGTCTTTTAGTGAACAGAGGGGTGCATTTCCATAAGAATGGAATTGCTGGATGACGGTGTCTATGTATGTGTAGTTCTAGAAGATGTTGCTAAACGGTTTTCTAAAGTGGTTGTACCAACTTGTGCGGCTGTTCAGGTGATTCTGTATGTCGCTCTGTGTCCAGGCCTACTGTGCCATTCCACGGTTCCTGTAAAGCCACATGTGGACATATCCACCCCCTTCTTCTCTCAGGGCAGTTTCCTTCTTAGTGAGCCATTCACCTCTGCCTGTATGATTTACCTCCTTATGAAAGCTCCCCTCTTTCCATCATTTGCCTCAAAACATTAGATGCTAATGCTTGTTGAATACATGAGTGACTAATTCAAATCTTCTGGGACAAATCCCAAACGTTTGCTGTCCTGTTTTTATTTTTGAGCCACATGTTAAGAGGAAAACTCCGAGCCATTGAAACCCATGGAATTAAAAAGGACCACATTGTTCTAATGCTCAGCTTATGCCAGTCACTGCAAGCCAGGAGAAGATTTGCCCCTAGGGTAGCAGGACCAAAGGGAATTTCAGGAATCTGCCTCCAGAATTGGGTTGGGATGCCACGTGGAATTCCAGGAACCTGTCACGGTGGGTTGTGAGGCTTGTTCCTACTGTGTGTTATTTTCCAGAGATGAAATGTTGCAAGTTCATCATTTGTCCTGCGACCCAGAGGCTTGAATCTTGTCTTCTGAGACCGGGGGGAATGGAAGGAAAAACACAAAACCACACTGAGGGCCTAGTGTGGGGAAGGTCTGTTTCCCACAAGACCTCATGTCATTTCCTTGAATTCCTCAGTAATACCAGCGTCCTCTTCTCCAGTCTTCCCCTCTCGGGGAACAGCCTCTTGGTTTCCCTTGCTCATAGAGCCAGAAATGTCGGTGCTACCCTTGACAGGCCTCTTGCCCTCATCCCCGCATCCGCTCCATTGCCAAGCCCTGCAGTTCCTACTTCCAAATATATCTCCAACCTTCCCACTGCTGTCCACCCCCACTGCCTCCATCCCGGTCCAAACTATGACGGTCCCCTCTGGAACCCCTGCCAACAGGCTCCAAGCTGGACTTCGGCTGCCACTCACGTTACCTGCAGCCTCTTCTCCACCAGAGTGAGCTTTGCAAATCTCTCTGCTGAAAATTCTTCACTGACTCCCTGCAGCGGATGTTGTGAGCACCCTGCTTATATCCCCTTGGCACACCCCATTTCTGGGCATGCAGAGCTGGTGGCTTGCAACAGGAGCACCTAAGGCTCAGCTGAGAGTTTATCTGGCTATTTCTAGGGCAGGCTACCAGTGCCTCCTCCTCCAGCGAGCCTCACCTGATGGTGGTTGGTAGCTGGTGGATAAATACCGCAGATCGCTTGCCCCTAGGCTGGGGATTACGTTGAATGGGGATTGGGGCCCTGTTGCCCCAGTGGTAATCTGCTTAGTGTTGTGCTCTCTTTCTGCTTCCTTCCTTGGCCTCACCCTCTCCTCTACCAGTGCTTCCTGAGGCCACTTCCCCCAAATACATTATTTGCCCTCACATCTTTGTCTCAGGGTCTGCGGTTGGAGGAGGTCACGGAGAGGATGAGCCGGCTGCTGGATTCTCCAGCTGGACCTGGGAAACCCGAGGCTCTTCACTGCCTCCCCTGTCCTTGGAATGTGACTTCTGCCCTCTGTTTCCACAGTGGGAGCCGTTTTCAAGGACGCAGCGCTGAGAGAGCCATGTGGTCGTGAGGTCATCCGGACCCTATATGAGACTGAACCTGTCTTTGTTCCCTCCATTGGCCTGGAGGACATGATAGCACATCGAGAAGCCCTTACTAAAATCACCCTACAAGACTTAAATGAGAGCCAACAAATCCTGTCCTCCTGAACACCGAAACGTCTCCAAGGAGAAAAGCCATCCTCTGAAACAGGACGGCCTTGGACATTCTCTCTGCCTTGCCAGGACGCGCTGGTACCATTACCCAAACGGAGTGTTGTGCGTTTATACCCAATGAGACTGTGAACGTACCATCTTTACTAAATCACATGAGGACACTTATAAAGCCCCACAGCGATCTGACCCCCAGCCTAGGGGACTTAATAAGTCAGTGGCTCAGATCATGGGGCTCTCGGTGGAAAAAAATTGTTACTTATTTTGGAAATCATTATCATGATCTGCGTTTTCCACGTGTTCATATCGGTTGCTGTGGGATCGGCCTCCCGTGCGGCCGGATAGCCTCCCAACGAGCCACCTCCACGCTAGCAAACCTCTCGCTGACTGCTCCGGACACACTGCCGAGGAGGGCGGGGGGGAGGGGAGATCGTCAGAGCCGGTCACGGTCACGAGGGGTGCAGTGTTGGTGGCGGTCACAGAGGGGACGTGACCCCCGCTTGACCCGTCAGCTGGCGGGGGGACATCGCGAGGTCACCAGCTCCTCACCCCTCCCCTTGAAATGTGCGCTCCGCCCACCGTTCCCACGGTGGGAGCCATTTTCAAGGACATAGCCTTGGGAGAGGAAGGTGTTCTTTTTTTTTTTTTTTTTTTAAAGATTTTATTTATTTATTTGGGAGAGAGAATGAGATAGAGAGCACGAGAGGGAAGAGGGTCACAGGGAGAAGCAGACCCCCCGCTGAGTGGGGAGCCCGATGCGGGACTCGATCCCGGGACTCCAGGATCATGACCTGAGCCGAAGGCAGTCGCTTAACCGACTGAGCCGCCCAGGCGCCCCGAGAAAGGTGTTCTTGAGACCAAGGTGACTGAACCCGTTAAGACCTCTGTGTAAACTTTTAAGGTTCTGGCTGCTGTGCGGAGAGCCCCTCGTCCTGCGGCTGCCAAGACGAGCCTGGTAAGTCCCCGGCTTGTGAACCCCGCCTCCGGCTCTGGAGGGGCTGCCCCTCTCTTGCGCCTCTCCCTGCGCTCCGTGTGCGCAGGCGCGGGGGCGGTTTAGGACCCGACATCCGCTTTTGGAGAAAGCCGAATTCGGACCCTCCCCACGGCTTGCAAGATAATGTCCACATAACCCCATCTGGTCTACAGTGCAGGTATAACCTGGTCCCCACTCCCGTCTCCTCCCTCACTCCACTGCCCTGTGCTTTGCCGCAGACACACGGAGGTTCTGCGGCCTCAGGGCCTTTTCACAGGCTCTTTGCCCTTCTGGTTTCATTTAGGGGCTATTTACCCCCCAGAAGAGCCTTCTCTCACTCCTCAATTTAAATTCAGCACCCCAGGGGCGCCTGGCTGGCTCAGTCAGTGGAGCTGGTGACTCTTGAACTCAGGGTTGTGGTTTGGGTCCCACCTTGAGTGTAGAGATTACTTAAAAAAAAAAAAAAATCCAGCACCCCATATTATCCCCTCTGTCAGCTCCCCGTTCCTTTCCTTCCTAGCATGTATCACAGTTTGTCTCTTTATTTGTTTAATGTTTACGTTCCTTCCCAAACTGTGAACCTCTTTGAGGATAGCCGTATCTGTCTCGTCCACCACTGCCTGCTCACAACCCGGTTCACAGAGGTGCTCAATAACTGTTGATTAAACGAACGAATAAAGTGTTACTATTATCCCCATTTCACAGATGAATAAGCTGACACTCAGGGTGGCTGAATCATTTGCTCAAGGTCACACATCTGCAAAGTGAATGGGGCTGGATTCAAACCCAGCACTGCCTCTTCTGAACATGTCTGGGAGCGGGACAGCTGAGTCATACGGTAAGTTGATCTTTACCTTTATAAGGGTCTGCAAACTGATTTCCAAGGTTGTTTACCATTTTACATCCCCACCAGGAACTGGCAGGAGGCACGGGCGGGGTGGCAGAGTGGGTCAGAGGCAGGTACTGTCTGTGGATCGGATGTTGTATCCTCCTAAAATGCCTCTCATGAAATCCTAACCCTAATGTGATGATGGTATGTGGAGCTGGAGCCTTAGGAAGGTGATTAGGTTAGACTAGGTTATGAGAGTGGAGCCCTCCGTATCCTCGTTAAAGAGAGGAAGAGACAGAGACCTCTCTCGGTGTGCACGCACCAAGGAAAGCCATGTGAGGACATAAGCAGCAAGAGGACCCTCATCAGGGACTCTGCCATGCCTGTGCCCTGTCAGACCTCCAGCCCCCAGGACTGTGAGCAGTAATGCTGGTTGTTGAAGCTGCTTAGTCTGTAGTGTTCTGTTAGAGCCCCAGGGATCTGGAGAATTCAGAAGGCGTGGACTTGTCCTCCAAGGAACTCACAGGCCTGCTCCCTTCCGAGGACTGAGATAAGTAAGGGCTGTCCTAGGAACTGTAAACACCCATTGTCCACCAACTAATGAGTGGGTCAAGAAAAGGTGATATGCATCCGTACAATGGAATGCTGAACCGTGCTACCAGTGAAAAGAGGATGCTCAGTGAAAGAAGCCAGTCCCAGAAGACCACATATGGTATAATCCCATTCATATGAAACATCCAGAACAGGCAAATCCGGAGAGTTAGAGAGGAGATTGGTGGTTGCCAGGGGCTGGAGGGGGCGGGGGGGGTGTGGTGAGAAAGGGGAGTGACTGCTGGACAGGTACAAGGTCTCTTTTTTGGGGTGATGGAGGTGCTTTGGAACAAGACAGAGGTGATGGTTGCACAACATAGAGAACGGGCTTAAGTCCCCGAGATGGTTAATTTTATGCCATGTGAATGTTACCTTCGCAGCGGAGGCATAGTTCCGGGTCTCCCGTGGGGCTGCTGTGCTGCCCCGGTCCCCGGTCGCCATTCGCATAGTAGTCATTCGCCGCGAGTGGCGCCTCCTAGCGGTGGGGGAGGACGCGGCAGCTCTGCTTTCGCCGTCAGACACGGACCCGGCTTGCTGGAAATGTCAGTGGCTCTATTCTCTCTTCAAAAAGGCTCAGGAACCAGGGAACGTGGCCTTGGTGACTCAGACTCCAATTAGGAAAGCAGTGTTGGAGGCTGGCGCACAGGTGGCTGCAGGTGGCTGGTGAGATGCCCAGACAGCCGTGAGAGCGGCCCCTGCCATCCCTACAGATTCCCCGGCCCAGGGTTGTCCGCTGGTTCAAGGCGCAGAGTGAGGTGTAGTGCTCGGTAATTGCATTGAGCTGGAGACGCTCACTTCCCAATTACTGGACTTTTGAAGTTATTTGATGTGGGGAAAACCTCTGCACTGCTCACCTGCCTCCAAGCTGCAGCAGGAACAGAGAGACAGGCTCAGCCCCAAGACAGACTAAATGCCAGAGACGCCTCTGTCCCTTTTGGTGTCAGCGATTCCCTCCTGGGCGCAGCTGGGCCAGGATAGGCACTTCAAAATCATCGTGTTTATTGAAGTGTCATTTATGGGCAGTCGTGCTAAGAACAATCATCTCAACGGTGAAATGATTTATGTGCAACAATGCACCCATTTTAAGTGGACAGTTGGATGAGGTTTGATAGATTTATATACCTGTATAACCACCACTCCAGTAAAGATAAAGAACATTTCCATCACCCCAGAAACTTTCTGCATATCCCTTTGCCATGAATCACCATCCCCTCAACCCCAGACAGCCACTGACTGATCTGCTTTGTATCACTGTAGATCCCTAGCAGATACAATGTGTAATATTTTCTATCTGGCTTCTTTTGCTGGGCAGAATTTTTTTTTTTTTAATTTTATTATGTTATGTTAGTCACCATACAATACATCATTAGTTTTTGATGTAGTGTTCCATGATTCATTGTTTTTGTATAACACCCAGTGCTCCATGCAGTACGTGCCCTCCTTAATACCCATCACTGGGCTAACCCATCCCCCCTCCCTCCTCCCCTCTAAAACCCTGTTTGTTTCTCAGCGTCTATAGTCTCTCATGGTTCATCTCTCCCTCCAATTCCGCCCCCCCCATTTTTCCCTTCCTTCTCCTAATGTCCTCCATGTTATTCCTTATGTTCCACAAATAAGTGAAACCATATGATAATTGACTTTCTCTGCTTGACTTATTTCACTTAGCATAATCTCCTCCAGTCCCATCCATGTTGATGTAAAAGTTGGGTATTCATCTTTTCTGATGGCTGAGTAATATTCCATTGTATATATGGACCACATCTTCTTTATCCATTCATCTGTTGAAGGGCATCTCGGCTCTTTCCACAGTTTGGCTATTGCGGACATTGCTGCTATGAACATTGGGGTGCATATGGCCCTTCTTTTCACTACATCTGTGTCTTTGGGGTAAATACCCAGTAGTGCAATTGCTGGGTCATAGGGTAGCTCTATTTTTAAATTTTTGAGGAACCTTCACACTGTTCTCCAAAGTGGCTGTACCAACTTGCATTCCCACCAACAGTGTAAGAGGGTTCCCCTTTCTCCACAACCTCTCCAACATTTGTTGTTTCTTGCCCTGTCCATTTTGGCCATTCTAACTGGCGTAAGGTGGTATCTCAGTGTGGTTTTGATTTGGATTTCTCTGATGGCTAATGATGATGAACATTTTCTCATGTGTCTGTTAGCCGTTTGTATGTCTCTTCAGAGAAGTGTCTTTTCATATCTTCTGCCCACTTTTTGACTTGATGATTTGTTTCTTGGGTGTTGAGTTTGAGAAGTTCTTTATAGATCTTGGATACCATGGGCAGAATGTTTTTGCTATTCATCCATGTTATTGGTGTGTCAGTAGTTCATTCCCTTTCTGTTGCTAAATAGTATTCCATTCTGTGGATATGCCACAATTTGTTTCTCTGTGCACACATCAAGGGACGTTTGGGTCACCTCCAGCTTGGGGCTTTGATGGATAAAGCTGCTGTGTGCAAGTCTCTGTGTGGGCATATGTTTTCATTTCTCTTGGGTAAATGCCGAGGAGTGGAATTGCTGGGTTGTGTGATGAGTGTATATCTAGCTTTATAAGAAATTGCCAGACTCTTTTCCAAAGTTGTACCGTTTTTGCGTTCCTACCAGCAACCTATGAAAGTTCCAGTTGCTCCACATCCTCACAAACACTCGATATTGTCAGTCTTATTAGTTTTAGCCATTCTGGTAGGCGGTGTGTAGTGGTATCTCGCTGAGGTTTTAATTTGCATTCCCCTGATGACTAATGCTGTTGCACACCTTTTCAGGTGCTTATTGGCCATTTATGTACCTTCTTTTGTGAACTGTTTAGATCTTTTGCCCACATTTTATTGGGTTATTTGCTTATTATTGAATTATAAGACAATATTCCAAAGGCAAGGAATGAAGTTATTCAAAGTTCTCAGTGTGATAGGAGGGGTTCCTAGCCTCCCTTTCTCTCTGGGGGTCTGGCCAGGATAACAGGGGTTGGGGGGGGCGGCTTTGGTAAAATAAGGTGGAGAGAGATTACTTTAGCATAAAAGCACTCAGGTGGAGGTTAACCCCAAACTTCAGTACTCAAGAGAGTCCCCCAGAGGACTAAACCATAGATTCCCTCGGAGCCCTGCCCAGAGGGTCTGATGGGTAGGTCTGGGGTGGGGCCTAAGAATCTGCATTTCTAACAAGTTCCCAGTTGCCACCGACGCTGCTGGCCTTAGGGACCACACTTGAGTAGCACCTGAGAGATGACTGAGGCTGAAATTAGACCACAGTGATGAGCTCTTACTTCTCCTTCTTCTCCTCCAATTTGTAGTCTCAATAGTTCCCCCTTCCTCTGCCCACCCACCCCTCCCACCATGCAGAGTAGTTATATGGCATAGAATGATTGACAACCCACACCGTCAATATGGAGAGGACCAAAGGGGTCCAGGGGCCCAAGGTGCCAAGGAAGAGAGGGAAAAGCATCAAGGCAGAGAGCTTTCCCCACTGACTTCGAAGGGGTAGACACACCAGTCACCCTGAAAGTTGCAAAGAGAAGTCATGAACTTGTTACACCTGGTGGTGGTGAGGGGGAGGTGTTGTCTCCACTGTGTTTACACTCTTTTGAATGAGTTGTCAACATTTATAAATTGACAGTAATGTTGGATCATATTTCTGGCTAATGGTTGCAACCAGACTGTTCTAAATGTGAAGGGTACAGTTATGCCATGAGTGACTGGCGTTTGGGTTTAAGATCTGTGAAAACATTTTGGGACACTGAGACCTGGAGAGACACCAAGAACCTTTTAGGGACTATACATACAGGTGTCTGTGTGCACACATGTTTTTTTTTTTCCCTCAGATATATGTTTACTGGGCCAAAAAACAACCCTAGCCGGAAGCTTAACAGTAAAGACGTTTTGATTTTGCAAGCAGCTGGTAAGAGGGAATTTACAAACTACAAAGAGTAAAATATAAATAAAGAAGCTAAAAAGAAGAAATGGAAAGGAAAGAACACCTACGGTTGCCAGTAACTTGAGACAGATGAAATAAGAAAGGTTTTTGATTTCAGTTAAACCTTTAGAATTTTTAAGAGTGCTTAAATGAGGAAAAATAAGGAGGTGGGGTGAGTGTGGGAGAGGACACTGCCAACGTAGATGAAGCTAAAAATTTAAATTCTTGTTAAACAGTCCCAACAAATTGGCATTCAAAGTGTGCTATTAATAAGTATGCTCCTTTCAAAAAGATGGCTTGGCATAAACCACTTTTTCCCCTCTAAGCTTCCCTTGCCGTGCTCAGACCCTGAGGGCATAAAGCCTTGGTTCCAACCTCAGTTTCTGCTGTGTATTAGCTCTGTGGCCTTGGACAATTTAGTAGATCTTTCTTTTTTTTAAATTTTATTTATTTAATTAAGATAGAGAGCCAGCGAGGGGGGGGGTCAGAGGGTGGGAGCAGACCTCTCC